TTTTAATTGTAGTAGCTTCGGAAAACTTTTGTGAAAGTGTTTATTGTAGAGGTGAGCTTGAGCAAGCGTTCATGGAAGGGAAACCAATCATTTTGATGTTTATTGAACAAGTGGAGCAAGAACTGATGCCACCAACTATGAGAGAGGTATACCAAAGGAATGTAAGGATTGTTTGGACATTTGAAAACGGTGAATACAAATTGAAAACAACATGGGAAAATGTTTGTAAATCTGTTTTAGACCTTGTGATATGAGGACCAATGTTCGCGTTTAATTACATGTACATACAATAGTGTGTCTTCAACTGTATAACGTAGTTGCATGTGATGCCTCAAATATCTCAACTTTGAGAATAAGTTGCTATGGTCAAACTCACTGTTACTAAAAATATAAAATTAACAAAAGTTTGTTTATTTTGTAGACAAATCTGACAGAACTAAAGACGAATATAAACAAATCAGTCTTCAATTTAAATAATGCCAAGGATTCATTAATCATTCGCATGCAGTGGCGTACCTGCCGATACGCCAATACGCACGGGTGTATTTAATGAATAGAGTTTCGAGAAATTAAAATTAAAAAAATGACGTAAAAAATAATTATGTAGATCAGATCGATCTATAGTTGCGTAGCTGCTTATTGATTCCATGGGTATGCTAACGATGTAACCTTTGTCAAATATATGTTCATACAATCAAAGGTGGTGAAGCACATTCATGTAAGAGAAAAGAACACGGGAAGAAATTTTAACGAGAAATTTTCTATTGTGTTTTTTATTTGTAATACAAATAATCAATTTTTAAGTAGATTGAATTACTATAAAAATTCAATTTATACCACCCTATGTGGATTTTATTAAGAATAATAATTTTTAAAACTTAAAAAAAAATAATGTTTTTATGCTTATAAACCTTACTAAACTTTATGTTTTTTTGGATCTTTTGTAGTACAAAGGAATATGTGTCAGCCTTTACATATATAATCCTGTAGTTGTTTCATTTGAAATTGTGTAGAATATTTTGGGTCCTATAAATATGATCTTAGCAGCAAACAATTGCCAACAACTATCATCACAAACCGAATTCAACCTTATTATAAATAACATTTTTAATCAAATGTCCGTAAAAATAGTAGATTTTCAAGATATATAATTATTCAAAGCTATTTAAACATATTTCATTGACTATACACATGAGTTGGATATTTCTGCAAACAATGACATATGTTTATGTATTTTATAATAGCCTCATCTATAAATATAGAACAGAGATAAAATTACAATAAAAACAAAATAAAGCCATATGAGAGAATGATCTTTCTTCTTTTTTTTTCATTTTTACAAAACTAAAATATGTTTCCCCTCTCGCTTTAAATAAACCGTAATTTTCCTGTTCATTTGTAAATATTTGTATGCGATACAAAATTCTATATGTTATTATTCTTTTTTAGGTTTTGACTTGAATTTCTGCCAGACTAGTTAGCCATTAATTTTAACTGCGTAATAATATAACTAAAATATATCGGATTAATCTTAAAGAGTAAAATTGAGGAAAATTGTCAAAAACAATTATGCTCTAATATTAACATAATGCACTTCTAAAATTATTATTTTTTATGTACCTTTGTGATCGCGTATCGATAAATAGCACCACACTAAATATCGTATTCCAGTATATACCGGACAAGGCGCTTGAATCATAAAATGCTAAAATCTTGCCTTTTAACCCAACGGAATGAACTTTAATAGGTCTAATTCATCTTTTCACACCGAATTATGTATGTTAATGAATGAAAAATGTAAAAATCGGCGAAAAAAACAATACTTGTCTATTTTGTGACCATGATTTCTGCAAGCGTCTAGAGGTACTGCTCCAATCCTGTATTGAGTTAAATCCATCAGAATGGAGAATATCACATGATTATGATGATAACAATGTGGACGACAAAAGAAACCATTGCCGATTAATGCCGTAACCGCCGCTAAATGTCACAAAATCTTCTGTTGTTAAATGTCGCAATGGTGAAGTTAAAAATGTCGCAAGATCTACATTCATGATAAAATTAACTTAGCTAGTGGTATTAAATTAAATAAACATTGAGTAAATGCCTGTATATATCTAGTAACGTTTGGATATAAAAGACTGTCCCGATCCATTTTAAAGTGGATTGGTCTACAATGGGTACATTTTCAAGAAATATTTCAAATATTGATAAAAACAATAGAAACAATCATTTGGATATTCTTACAAAATACTTCTTAAACAAAAAAGTATATCTAGTTCTACATGATTTAATATTGCAAATATGCCCATCAACGCTGTTGGTTAGTATTCTGCCAGGGACTTAGGATTCTTTCATGTGAGGAAGCTATATTCAGTTACCTTATGGAACGTCGGTGGTTTTTCTCTAGTTCGAGGCACCAGAGGTCTTCGCTGGAAAATCGTTATACTGTGTTGGTGTGACGTTTTAATGCCTAAAAACTAATTAGGGCTTGCATGTCCTAATTAAAAGTTTTTAAAACTTATTAGGAGAATTTAGGAGAAATAAAATTCTTCATTTTTCTGTTCTTTTGTATAAAAACCTAATTTGAAGGTACAAAGTTCAAATTATTTTTAATTATATTTAGTCTTTTGAAGTTCCTCCTTATTAAGATTTTATTTCCAAATTCCTAATGATATTTTTATTTTTCCTAATTAGGCTTTTAAAACTACTTATTAAGAGTTACAAAGTTGTAATTAGGATTATTCCTCTTAATAATGAGTAAAAATTCCTTATAAGTTGTAACTGGGAGTAATAAATTGTAATAAGGTTTTTCTTATCTCTCTTATGTAGGAAAATCTATCTTCTTTTAATTCTCCTTATTAAGATTTAAGCACTTAAAAAAATAAAAATAAAAAACAAAGATGTGCACCAGACGATTTCGTACCAAAACACTTTCGAATACACTATCAGTTTTCCTATAGATTTTCGACCATGCGACCACATACATCCATCGAGGAGATATTGTAAGGAAAGTGACCGTGCGACCACATACACGCATCACAGGATTCCCCTTCTCATACGAGAGAGGGAGACAAAAAGTTGTCTGCCCTTTTATTAAAGGGCAGACTTTACAAACATGCCAGTTCCTTATTTTATTGATAAGGTGGCTAAAAAATTATCACAGACATATCTTGAATTGGTTTATATACAACAATAATAATGCAAACCAAGCGGGTTGTCAGCTTACGTCCTTTTCAGTCTGCCATGAAATTTTAAAACGATAATATATAATTTCTTAGAAAACTTTGAGTTTACAGTTTTTTTTTCTACTTTTTATTCTATGTATATTCCAATTTTTCAAAAACGTTTTATATATCCATTAAATATGGGAGATAATATATTTCACACTTTGTAAATATTAACCTGGGGGCATTTTGCAAATGTATGCATTTAATTTCTATAGTCGACTTGTAATAGAAAAGGTTATGTGATGGACTGCAAGAAAACGAAGATTAAAATTGAGCAGCCGACATTTATTCTTAACCTGCAAAATGCAGTTTTCAAGTATCCATGTTTTAAGAACTGTTTGACAATCTTGGAATATCAAGACAGGAACTTCTAAAATGAGTCAACCTTAAGTATAGACAGGTTCAGTCTGCTTACGTACATGTATTTCTTACACATCCGACTGGTGTATGCATCACAAGGTTCCCCTTCTCCTACGAGAGAGTACCGACAAATGGGCTGGTCTCCTCGGGACGGATATTTCAATCTGAACCGCAACATATGACATATTTGAGCCGTGTCATGGAAAAACTAACAAAATGCGTTTGCGACCAGCATGGATCCAGACCAGCCTGCGCATCCGCGCAGTCTGATCAGGATCCATGCTGTTCGCTATCAGTTTCTCTACTTGAAATAGTGTTGGTAAGCGAACAGCATGGATCCTGATCAAACTGCGCGGATGCTGGTCCATGCTGGTCGCAAACGCATTATGTTGGTTTTGTCATGACATGGCTCATTTATATTATTACTCTTTATCAGTGTAATCATTTCGGTTCCTTCCAGCAGTGTAAAGGTGCAGTATTGTTAACAGTGGGTCATATTTACACAATCGCTTTTGATCTCATTCAAAGTTTAAACAAATTCTACCATACAGTTTTCAACTGTAGCATATGCCTTTAAATTTTCATTTGATTTATTTTCTCAAGATGGAAAAAATATATATGCGATAGGTGCATTGAAGAAACATAGAAACGTAATTTGAAATGAGATGTAGTCCATCAATTCAATATGTCATTTCACACTACCTGAAAATGTAACGACTAACCCTATAGGCCAGTCATAATAGAAATTATGGTAAAACTAATTCCTTCACAAATGTTTTCAGGATTAAATAAAAGATAAACATTATCTACATTTTAAGAAAAAAGTCCTCAAAAATCTCCTTGCAGAATCCTGAAAAATCGATCATAAAGATTTAGTAAAAATCGATATTTAAATGTGTCTCTTAAATTACACCATACTTTAATGTTATGCACGTTCGGTGACGTCACGCTTATTATATTTTCGTTGAAAGATCTAAAGTTACTTCAATTCCAGCATTCCTAGTGCAAAGGTGAGTAATTTTAGTCATTTTTATATTCTTCTGTATAAATTTTAGGAAAAAAATATGTCAGTAGATAAATATAATTGACACACAATCAATCGATTATGCAGATGACAAAATGTGTCCTATAATTTCGCGATTTAAATAAAATAAAAACTACATTTTCAGTTAACAATTAACATACTCGTTAATTAAAAGTGAAAGTAAAAATATGTTCATTTAATAATATGGAAAACATTTCTGTTTTCTAATTTTGACCGATATCTAGTCACAATCACTTTCGTATTTCAATATTTTTTCCTGTGAACACTTAAAATAGTCCATATACGTACATAGGAAATGACTATTTATCTAATTTCCTACCATTCAACAATTGAAAACTGTTACAATTACATGTATGTACTTTTACTGTTTACATTCAGGATGTTAAGAACCCAATGCACGTTCTTCACGATTTTCTAGATATTTTTTAGATATTTAAAGTATTATTAAATTAAGGATATACATTCCGGTCTAAGGTAGGTCGTTAGTTTATTCTGCGAAAATGTAGCATAAGCATGATATTATGTCTGTGCGTGTATTATTGTCTGTTTTATTTTAATAATTTATCATCTTATGATCGGACACATAACCGACATTGATTTTGAATTTTCTTTTCTTTTTGGAAGTGTACATGTATTTTAAGAGATTAAAATCGGTTATATTTTTAGACATTTTTACATCATATAAAAAGGACAATGTTAACTGTGAAATATTTGCATGCAGTTACTGTGCAAAACGTGCTTATAGCAAAAAAAGTGTAAGTGACAGATTTAAATTTTCTGGTATTATTGAGGCCCGTCTTGGTTTTTATGAGACATTAAAGTAATTTGTTGGCGACGCCGGTGAGCGGCGTCGTTTTATGAAATGCTTCGGTTTTTTTTTTTTACCGTGGTAGGAGCTGTTATTATTAGAAGTTAATGTCATGCTGTGTTAAATAGTTTTATAATGAGTTTTAAATATCAAGTCAACAATATGTTGTTACATTTTTTTTATTATTAAAATCATATTCATTTCTCGTAGTGTGTCAAGTTTTAATACCGCATGTTTGTAACGTCGATTTTCATTAGATAATCGTGACGTTTATATAGATTCATAAATAAAGCTGCTGTCAATTTATGAAGTATTTCACTTTTTCCCTAAAAAAAGGAAGTTTGTGATACGATAAATTCGTTATTTACAGGTTATATGACCACATATAAATGGTTGTTCGCAATACAACCTCCTCCTAAAGGCTCGAATCATATGTACAAACAACCATTTATAAAAAAGAAATTAAATAAAAAAAAAAGATAAAACAAAAACAAAAATTTTTACCTGTCAAAAATCTTTGTAACTAATACATGTATTATAAACAGTTGATACAAGGTTATATAACCCTTGTCACTATACTGTTTAACTTGTAAAATGTCTTCATTATAATGAAGTTATGTTACACATTTTTGGTTTCTACGAATAATGCTACAGCTATTTCACATACATGTAATATGTATCATGTATAGATGTTTAAACTTACAGAATAAGATTTACAATTTTTGAACGAGCCCTTAAAGTCCTTCAATCGCGTCCATACATACGGGTGTTAAAGGAACCCAACTTAGGTCCAAAAGCCTAAAACACACAATTTGAATTTATTAAATAGATCAGGTGGGGCACTTTAAACGGAAAGATGTGCAAAAGATTATTAAGAAATACATTCAAACTATAAATTGAAAATCGTATAATTGTGCTATTTTTAGCCCGATATGAGTGAAAAGCATTGCAACGCTTTTCATTTTGGGACATTTTGCTTAATAAGAATAGTTATTTTGGAAAAACGGATCAAGCAAACGTTCTTAAATTTTGCACACAAGTTTTTGGTCTCGACATGCATTCAATGGAGCATCCATTTTTTTTGATATTTCAAGTCACGTCGTGTCAATCTTCAGTGGTGTCCCTTTAAACAGTGCCATGAACGTAAATTACACTGATATTTTGTTTAAATAAGTCCTGTGTTTTAGTTGAATAAAAATATTCTCGGTTCACTGGGTCATTTTCTTTTTTAAGGATAAATAAAAAACCGCTGCAAACCAAACTGCAAACGCTGCATGAGGTCAACATATGTAATCATTCTTTGTCGTCACATTTGCTAAACATTAGTCCTGAATTAAGCACAGATCTTATCAAGATTATATAAAGTGCACATGAGCATTTGTGTGCATATGAGATAAAGCTCGGCTCCAGTCACGTGTTGTATCCTTAAGTTTCTATAAATAGGTACGACAATCCGGAACTGCTCGTTATTCCGTTAAGAGGTTTAAAAAATAATAATAATAAAGAGAAAAATAGTTGCCAAAGAACCTGATAAGATTGAAAGCATGACCTGGTTTGATATACTAGCACTGGTGGATATAGCAAATCAAAATAGCTGATGTTGCACTAAATTAAAATTGCATTACTCATGTGATTGTTTTGTTCTTTCATTTCCATTAAGCTTTTCGGTCAATAATATGATACACATCTAATTTGTTAGTTCGGTAATTTTCGCCACCCTTTCGGGTTTTTATTTGATGATACTGAGTCGACCCTCTGATCCCGATCCCGGTCCAACGCCAAAGATACTTAAAGCACAAATATATATAGCCATTTAATTATTTAGATAACACCGGAAAATGGTATACATGTATTGTAAACAATAATCAATTCCAAGGTCGCTTCTATTTTCAAAAAATTAAAAAACATTTAAATGTTTTCAGAAATTCTATTGATTATGGGTCGAGAGTCAACAAATAACTATGATGCATGTCAGTCGGTTCTGAATATATTATAAGTTTAATAGCTTAATTCAATTTGTTAGTTGTAGGAATATCTATTAAAGTAAGTATATATTACAATAAAGCTTGTTCGCGGGTCCCTATGACATTTAGTTCCCATATGAGCCGCACCCTTGAAAAAAAAAACAACAATAACAATAGAAATGAGTGCGCGTGTCACCAAAATCAAAGGTCATTTAATTTCAACTAAAACACACCAATGCTTATTAAATGATAAAAGTACATAAAAAATTATCTAATTTTAGGATATAAGTAGAACAAGTATTTCTTAAATAATAGGTTATTTATATATGCACTTTTGTATGCAAGCCGCTGTAAAATCTCTTTGATAAATTTCCATTATTTATCTGTTTATTTTTATTATTTTATTATTTTATTTCATTATTTTTTTCATTTCCTTAATTTAGTATTTCATTGTTTGTTAATAACATACAACATATCGCGAAAGTTCTCCTTACTTTAAAGTCACTGATATGACTTTGTTCGTTTGTTTATACGTGACGCAATGTTATCAAATTTGAATAACTGTACTGATAACCGACTATTGGCAATTTCGTCTATATCCCTTTCGAACTGTCTAGCGCCCTCTGGCGGTCGATAAAATGTGTTATCTTTGAGAGTCCTTATCTGGATTTATAGGCCAATCTCGAGCGCGTTTGTAAACACAAATGTCCAAATTCTGTCTCAAATTTGGAAAAGGATCAAAATGAACGCAGCCATAACAGCATAAGTAAGCTTTCGCTCCCAACAGTCATTCATAGATAAGAGGCGGTACACGCACGACGAAATACTCTAGCTTTAAAGTCCTTTAGACCTCATTATAATTATATTTCATATATTAAAAAAAATAACAAAACAATATTAGTATATTTTTATATATATTAGAATATCCTTTATTTACTTTTTTTGTAAAAATAGTATCTGTTGAAAGTGGGTTAAATTTGTTTGTTTATTTATTTATTTAGTGAGTGTTTATATTCACGTATGGATGCGTTAAAGGAACAGAATCAAGATGCGTAAGTTAACTTTTTGTTTTAAATTTTCTATTTTGACTTTCGTTTAAAGAAAATAATGATATTAAGCATGTATCTATATTTACTTTTCTACTGATACATAAGTTGCAAGCTGTGCATGACCTTTCGATAAAAAAAGGGTTTCAAGAGTTTTTCGCAGACACTTACTTAAGCAAACGAATCACTTACTTAAGCAAACGAATAGAACGCGCTTGTTAAATTTGCATGTTATTCCTTCTAATATTGAAATCGAAGGTTCAATTTACTACTTCAACGAAAACAAGTCACAATTTCTTAGCACCTGTAAACAAACAATGATTTTCTGGCTCCCATTCGCTTATTTTAAAAAGTCCCTACCGTTCGCTTGTTTTAATCTTGCACGGTTAAAAAATACATTAATATTTATTGCATTTAATCATAGTCGAACACAATCTTACAAAAACGTTTGATTAATAGTTGTCACTATGATCGAGGAGGCGCACATTTTATTTTACGGACTCTAAAACAAAATTATTCATTGATTTCACATTTATGTATCAACATTGTATATATTTATCCATCGTTATTCAAGATCAACTTTATAATAAGGGGGATTTTACACGACATTACTTAACTGAACATAACAAAATACACACTGTAAGAGACTATCCCATCTTTTGCAATGAGTGATCGAGTAAGGCAAGGGTATTATTGTAAAGATAGCTATTTCCGGTTAGACAATATTTATAGCCAATCCCTCATTCGGCATTGATAGTGCAAAACATTGATAAAGAAATCAGGTCTATTTTTGTTACAAATAAAACATTTCAAAATATACATGTCAATTACATATATAACTTAGCCTGGTCTTTACGATAAATACCAACAAGAGTAAGGTGATGGGTACAAGTTATTCTGGACACAATATGCATCGTCACGGACCACGGACGTGACTCGAATATTGCTTACTTTCCCTGAAAATAAGACACTACTGACCTCTTTAACGCAAAACAAGAAACATAACGTAAAATCTTGACCTCGGAAAACGGCATAGTCATCAAATTTTGCTGAAAATTGAATACGAAATTAAACTTAGATTTTTAATTATGGTTACATGTATTTACATTTAAATTATTTCCGTCATTAATTAAAAACCTATTGATTATTATTTTGTTCTCAGACAGCTGTCTATAGCGAGTTCAAAAGACTGAATAAGATTTTTAAACGTGTTATATTATGTTTGCTAGGGCATCCACATCATTTTGAAAATGTGAAAAGTAAAGGAAACGTTATGTACTCCAAAGAAATGTAATTAGCATCGGAACAACTCGGCTATTATTCCGAAGATTGACGGAAAGGGCCGAGAAGTTGCGATAATTAATTTTTACGTAGACATTCACAACACTAACGTATGTTTCGGAGTTAGTTAAAAAAGTCCATTGGTCCATTTAACCTTCAAATATCATCGCTTCGCTTAATATCATCGCTTCGCTTACAGGCGGAAAGGAACAAAGTTTACCCATAGACTCTTGCTCACGTTGGGGTTGGGGCGGGGCATAATCTGATCCCCGAGCGTCTGTGAGTTTACCAAATCAGTACAAGAATACCCTGAACCATTTACGGCCTTTATTGATAGTACGTAACCAGGTCAAGGTTGTATGTCTGATTATAAATCAAAATATTGTATGATACGCTGTACACAAACTAGAGAAAGTACTTTTATTAATAGAGTAGTCAAGTAGTTTAACATCCTTTAACATCCTTTACATGAAGACTTGGTTGTAAATTGGTTTTAACATTAAGGACCATCATGCCCCAGAAATGCATGAATTTTTTTTATTAAATGCTTTGTATGTTTGATGTCCTGTTTAAAGTTCTAAAAGGTTAAATTACTGATTGGCCAATTATCTGCCTATGTTGGCTTTTGGCAGATGGAACATTTACAGTGATTCAGTTATTTGTTTGAAAGTCAAAATATATTACTTTGTTTACAATTTACCACTTTCATGACAAATAATTTCACAATCAGCGCTATTTCTTTCAATTGATAACCATCTAACATGCTCTCAAACCCTTATTTTAACGTTCAAACTTATGTTTGACCTTTATAAACAGTCCCTTCTTACAGCTAGAAAAACGCTGAATAACTTAACACTTTCAGCGTGATTAAAACAGGAAACAGTAATTTTATTCCTTTTCGTCTAATGTCAGTATAGTGTTATTCGTTTTCATGTATCTGTTTACATGTTTTACAAATTGTATATTTTACAGTAAGCTCATCACGGGTAACAGAGAGGTAAGACTGAACAACGAGAATCTCAAACGACTAACAGAGGATCATCTGTATCATATTGCCCTTAGCAACGTTCAACATGATCTCAGGCAACTGTTCGGCGATGTCAAGGTATTAGACAATGCCAAGAGAATAGGGCGACTTCGATCCCCTACCGTGTTATCCCTAGTAAAACTAAACGTTCGCCGAACTTTCTTCCAGTTTGGTTTGACTAAAGTTACGTCCGTTTTCCGCGGCCATTCTTCTGGTTTAAAAATGGCGCCATACAACACGTAAACGGAAGTACATCCGATTCCGGACATGCGCAATACATCTTTCATAACCAGATCGAAGTCGCTCTTAGATTAAGATGGTTTTTAACTTTTAATTTTTTACTAAGACTACAATCATGCTTACTTTGTAGTACACTTGTACTGATTAATTTACAAAGCGAACACAATAATAGATTAAAAGTCACAAACCATGGTGTTTGTCCCATATATTCTAGGTTTTTGTAATCGTAATTGCTGATTCGTTGTATGCAGAAAAAGGAGTTAACTAATTCACGTACATGAAGTTATTCTAAATATATTGATACAAAATGTATATAAAATGCAAATTATTCTATAACAGTCTTTAACACCCATACGATGCTTTTGAATTGTTCAACATGACCGTCCAATATACTAGTATATCCTTTATTGGACGCTTTAGTACCCCCTACTGTGAACTACTTTAAGCCATGAACAACTAAAGTATCTGAATAATAGAAGCTTCTTTCGAAAACGTTTATTAGAATATCTTATCAAGTCAAATTTTCGTTTCCTCTCTCTGGTTTGGATATAGATGTAGACCAAGTAGACTATTAAACTGTTCAGTACAATGTAAGATATATCTGAACCCGTAAACCGCTTGAAAAAAGCATTTTGGATCGCAGAATATTTTTTCTCTCAATCTGTATTATCATGCTTTATTGAGTGATTGCCCAAATTGATAAAATCTGTGACAGGCTTGTTATAGAAAATAATGTGGATTGAACCAGTCTGTTAACAAGGTGGTTATTTTCCATATTATAGAATATTACTGATAAACTGCCAATTTAATATCTATTTTATGATTTGATTTTCAGTTCGTATGTTTTGGGGGTCAGTCATCGCGTATGGAAAAATTCGCCAGTTTTATTTCAAAAGAGCTTGGTCTAGAAGATAACGGACCGCCGAAGAATTACGCAGGGAACACTGATCGCTATGCCGTATACAAGGCCGGGCCTGTACTATCTGTTAGCGTAAGTCACGTGATTTTCGATAATATACTGGTATAAGTCTTGTGAAAATCTTACCTTGAAAGTTTTATCTTGGACTTAACAAATAGTTTGAATAGGTCTTTGTAAATAAACGCTTTAGGAATAATTTGCTGATTTTTGTTTACAATGGTGATAGTAAATGATTCATTTCCTGTTTTAGACGATAAATCGGTCTTTTAACTTGAAACACAAATCATTTTGAAATGAAATTCTTAAACGAAAGAGAAAGAAAAATACTCCGATAAGTCATTATTATTATTTTTTTATGAAACTTAAAATATGGATAGATGACAGTATGGAGATTATAAACATCATTTTAATCTTTAGTATAGGGAGTATAATGAGAGCTGTCCTACTCATCAAGCGTCGGCGACCTCGTCAAGATCATTTTAGATTTCTTTTTATTATCATTTTGTCCTAGTTTTCCTGATGACCTTTACATCAATTTGATCATCATTCTACTAGGTCCACTCTATTTATGATGTAATTTGCTTGTTTTTGTTTTCAGCATGGAATAGGTATTCCATCACTGTCAATCATATTCCAAGAAATAGTGAAACTCGTTTACTATGCCGGCTGTCGCGATGTTACATTTTTCAGAATAGGAACAAGTGGCGGTCTAGGTAAAACTGATATATGATTACATATATTTCATATAACTTTGCATTCAATTATAACATTATTATAAGTCAAGCACATAACTTACTCTAGAAGATTTGTAATTTTCACATAGTTATTTTGTATTGAAATACTATAAAAATGAACGTGACAAGGAAGAGAAAATATTGGCTATACGGCTTATTTATGTACAAATACATTTGGTTTTAAGTACGCTGATGTTCGAGTGGCTTTCCGGAGAGATTTCGATGTTTTGAATGAACATTGCTGAAAGTTAAAAATAAAGATACCTTCATGTGTGGTCAGTTGTTTCACCTGCAAATGAAGGAGGAAGATCTCAGATGCCCCACCGGCACGAACGGATACCTGAATATAGAACCACCGCCGTTCTGTAAGCTAACTGGATAGCTTCCTCACGTCAAAGAATGGCAGGATTCGAACCCATCGCGATGAGGGGCAAGGGTATAATATTGTAACAACTCATGTGTTATATCGCCATTATGTTTTAGGTTTAGAGCCCGGTACAGTTGTAGTCAGTGAACGAGTTGTGAACGGTGCATTAGAACCTTCGTACAAAATGGTAAATATCTTTTAAACTATAGTTCGTATTGTCAATAGTTGAGACTTCTGTGCGTAGGCGTTGTAACTGTATAGCTTATTTTTTTTTTATAAATTAAGGAAATTGTCCTGCGGAATGCTCTTAATACTAAGTTAAATAAAGTTTTGACGAACATTTAGCTATTTCGTTCTCCTAGGTGATTATTGTTTATAGTGTTTAATTAGTTCCGACATAAGGTGATGAAATGATAGAAAGACAGAAAAAAAAATGAAAATTAGAATAGCGATTTATGAAATGCTTTGAAAATAACTTTCTATGTGATTAATAAAACTTGAATTTAATATTCTACTTTTTGGCGCCAAAGATAATAAATCTTCGGATACAAAGTGATCCAAAATTTTTTTTATCCCCCGCCGAAAAGGCGGCGGGGGATATAGTAATAGTCTCCGTCCGTCCGACCTTCCGTCCTTCCGTCCGTCCGTCCTTCCGTCCGACATTTTTGTCCGGAGCATATCTCTAAATGTATTTGAGTTATCAACTTGAAACTTCATAGGTGGATAGACCTCATTGAGGAGGAGTGCAGTGCACAATAATGATAACTCTACCCTGCATAATTTTTTAGTTATTGCCCTTTGTTATTTTTCAAAATTGATTTTTGTCCAGAGCATAACTCAAAAAGCCTATGAGATATCAACATGAAACTTCATAGGTGCATAGATCTCACTCAGGACGTGTGCAGTGCACAAGAATGATAACTCTACCTTTCATAATTTTTTAGTTATTGCCCTTTGTTATTTTTCATACTTAATTTTTCACCTGAGTGGAGCATAACTCAAAAAGTGTTTGAGATATCAACATGAAATGTCATAGGTGGATAGATCTTATTGAGGAGGAATGCTGTGCGCAAGAATGATAACTCTTCCCTATACAATTTTTGAGTTATTGCCCTTTGTTCTTTTTCATGCTATTTTGTCCTGAGCTTATCTCAAAAAGTATTTGAGGTATCAACTTGAAACTTCATAGCTGGCTGGATCTCATTGAGGAGGAGTGCAGTGCACAAGAATGATAACTCTACCCTGCATAATTTTTTAGTTATTGCCCTTTGTTATTTTTCAAAATTGATTTTTGTCCAGAGCATAACTCAAAAGCCTTTGAGATATCAACATGAAACTTCATAGGTCCATATATCTCACTCAGGAGGTGTGCAGTGCACAAGAATGATAACTCTACCTTTTATAATTTTTGAGTTATTGCCCTTTGTTATTTTTCATACCTAATTTTTCACCCGAGTGGAGCATAACTCAAAAGTGTTTGAGATGTCAACATGAAATGTCATAGGTGGATAGATATTATTTAGGAGGAATGCTGTGCACAAGAATGATAACTCTTCCCTATACAATTTTTGAGTTATTCCTCTTTGTTCTTTTTCATAATATTTTGTCCGGAGCTTATCTCAAAAAGTATGTGAGGTATCAACTTGAAACTTCATAGCAGGATGGATCTCATTGAGCACAAGAACGATAACTCTACCCTGCATAATTGTTTAGTTATTGCCCTTTGTTATTTTTCAAAATTAATTTTTGTCCAGAGCATAACTCAAAAGGCCTTTGAGATATCATTATGAAACTTCATAGGTGCATAGATCTAACTCAGGAGGTTTGCAGTGCACAAGAATGATAACTCTACCTTTTTATAATTTTTGAGTTATTGCCCTTTGTTATTTTTCAAACTTAATTTTTCAATTCAATTTTTTTCTTAAAAGTATTTGAGGTATCAACTTGAAACTTCATAGGTGGATAGATTTTACTGAGGAGGGATGCAGCACACAAGAATGATAACCTACCCTGCATTATTTTTCAGTAATTGCCCTTTGTTATTTTCAGCCATCAGTATTTACATAGGTTTCAAATCTGTAATCACTATAGCCATCAGTTTTCATTACCAAATAACCTTAAAATGGAGTTATTCTGCTCTACTACATATACATTCTTCCAATGAGCAAACACATTTGGCGGGGGATGGCCATGTTGACATGGCTCTTGTTATCCTTGTGGACCAAACCTGGAAAGTCTTATAACATCAAATGATTTGTCAAGTCAAATGACACAATTTAAATCAGCGATGTTATTTTTAGGTTGTTCTTGGAAAGACTATAGATAGACCTGCCGTGGTTGACACGACACTAGTAGAAGATCTTGCTAATTGTAGTCTTAATTCAGATAACTTCAAAACTGTGAAAGGAACTACTTTATGTGCGGACGATTTCTATGAAGGTATGTAAAATAATTAAACATTCAATCAATTTTCACAGAGTCATAATTTTGTATGAAAACTATTGCGAACCTAGATTACTAGTTTAAAATATGATTATATCAAAGCTTGATTGTTAAAAAAGCTTGTACCTTTTCTGAATCATATGGTGGCTGATTTGTGCCATGTCGTATGTTTGTTCCGCGGGGCGCCGACGAAAACAAGAAAATACGACAAAGTAAACTGTTTGTCGTGCTTTTGCCCCTTGGGGCGCAAATGCGAAAACACGATAATACGACAAAGTCAACAAGGTGTCCTTCTTTCGCTCCGCGGGTCGCAAAGGCGAAAACACTCACCTCTTTGTCGTTCTTTCGCTTCACGGGGCGCAAGGCGAAAACACGATTACACGAAAAAGTGTTGAATGTCGTATTATCGTGTTTTCGCCTTGCGCCCCGCGGAACGAAATTACGACATGTCACGAATCGAATCAGCCTTTGTAGAACCACCCTCAATTCATTTTCTCGGAACTAAGCAAAACTGGTGTCATTCGTGGAATTAAATAGATGAATATATTATACTTTCCAAAGGTTACTCGCTAGAAGAAATCATATCTTCCTCGTGACTTTTAAACACGCATTTACTTAATAATACTCTTTTACAGACTGTTACTCAAAACAGAATATAAAATCAAACTTGGCAGCACATTACAAAGATGATTTTGGTCCCAGTAAGTCTAGAACCAATTTAAGATATTCATCGTGGTAAGATGTACTGGATTAATTGGTCCGGTTTTTTGTTTCATGAAGTATACATGGGCAAGTAAAGGAGTTCAATTAATTATTTAGCTGAGCAGCCTACAGTATAGAACAGTCTTTGCTGGACTTCACGTTTCGGTATTTTGGATGGTGGTCTGTACATACAGTTATATGTTTTTATCCGCTACTGACTTGGAAATGATTATATATTACCGTGACCGTGCAAATTGTGATTTTTTTTATTTTATATAAAGGTCAAGGTCGAGTAGACGGAGCATTCTGTGAACACGAGGACGGGGAGAAATTTTCTTGGTTACGAAAACTTAAAGACAATGGTGTTACAAACATGGAAATGGAATCTCTGGGCTTTATTGCTATGTGTCATAGAGCAAACATCAAAGGTATACCGTCATTTTTAGTGTTTCTGCTTGTGTCTTTTGAAATGAGCCGCGTCATGACAAAACCAACGTAATGCGTTTGCGACCAGCATGGATCCAGACCAGCCTGCGCGTCCGCGCAGTCTGATCAGGATCCATACTGTTCGCTTACAAACCCTATTACAAGTAGAGAAACTGATAGCGAACAGCATGGATCCTGATCAGACTGAGCGGATGCGCAGGCTGGTCTGGATCCATACTGGTCGCAAACCAACTATGTTGGTTTTGTCATGACGCGGCTCAAATATACCATCGTATTGTATACTGTCATGCCTGCAAAGCTGAAAATATAAACATAAAAGACATGAAAACCTGTGATGAAATGTTGCTGGTGTCTGTTAAATAACTTATTTGCATACCTCTAAATTTAAAGTTATATGGACATTTAATAAAAAATAAAAGGGTTGATATACATTGATTTTAATTTTTTTTTGTAGTATTTACCAGGGACTTATGATCAATCTTTCATATGCTGTTAAGTTAGCTTGCAAACAGTCCGTATTTCTACTTAGGTGCCTGTTCGTGCCTGAAATCATGCACTGAGGGACACCAGTAAAGCTGGAAAGTCGCCAAATGACAAAGCTGGTGCGATATAGAACATAGCACCGCCTCCCAACCTGCCACCTCACCTTAAAAAGTCTAAATAAATAAATCAAGAATTTTTACAGCTTATTGTGATAACATATCCAGAATGAAGTTTAAAACATTTAACCTTAATACACAGACCAAGTTGGTATTTTTCTTAATATATCAATATAGTTAATTTATATTCTTACCGACAGATGACTTGCAGATTTATTTGCATATATATTTTCGATATATACATGCACACAATTTGATAAATAGTTTTATTTTAATGTTAAATCATTTTCTATTTATAAATTGTAAGTAAAGATTGGTTACAAACAAAGCCAGGCTATCCTCATATGATAGAAACGAAGTTGTTTTTAGGTCTACTTTGTATATCATTTCACGATTTTAGCTCGACTATTCGAAGAATATGGAGAGCTGTTGTACTCACCCGGGCGCCGGGTGTGACGTCCCAAGTTAGTTAAGATTTTTATCCGTACTTGTAAGTGGTTATGTCCAAGACCACTGAAGGAAATGCCTTAAAACTTGACACATTTATTTGAAAAGCATAATAAGAGGTCACCGTCAAAGGTCTAAAACTCTAACATTGATTTTGACAGAATTATGACCCTTTTTGAAGTTAGAAATTTCAACGTTATCCAGGCTTTTGTTTTAAGCACTGAGAGTAGTCGAGCACGCTGTCCTACCGACAACTCTTGTTATATTGAGATGCTTTTACCAATATCATTGAGGGGCATTCAGACCCCTTTCGATCGAAGTGCCTTTGTGTATCTCAAAATGGTCATATGGGCCGATGTTTTAAGCTTTACGGAAAAATATTCGTTGTATCTTTGTGTAATTGGGTGGACTGGTTAACATTGTACATTTACATTTTGACCTTCATTATGTGTACACCTGGAACAATTTACATGTCGTTATAATTTATATAATCATATAATCATTTTTGAGTAAAATGGCGGGAAAAGAATTTCTGCTCACCTTATAACTATAAAAATGGCGGGAAAAAATTCTGCCCACCTTATAACCAACTAATGATAACATTACAGGTGCAGTATGTTGTGTGACGTTATTGGATCGCTTTGAAGGAGATGGGCTCACAACCAACCGGCAGTTACTAAGTGAATGGCAGACTTTTCCTCAAATAATTGTCTCCAGATACATCCAACAAAAGCTGAACGAGAGCAGCTAGATTTGTTTGAAGATTAGAAACGTTCCGAATCTCTATTATTGTGTGCCTAAACTGAATCAGATGATCCGTCCATACCGGACCAAAATTACGAATTTGCAGATTTTTTTTAACCCGCTTAGATTTTAAAGTAACAATGTTGGTGTATTTTTTCGACGGGTTTTGTTGTTAAGATATATATAATGACGTTAACTGCTATTGAAAAATTAGGTAAATTGTAACATTATAAAAATAGCTTCTACACAAAATTTACAAATGATGCAATTCTAAAACTGAAATTTCTTTTATGTATGTTAATGAACCAATATAAAGACTGATTTTTTAGGAAAAATATGCTTATATGACTTGAGCATGAGCATATTATTATATAAAAAATTTTGTGTTGATCATTTTTAATCAGAAAAGTGACATTTTTGTTTCACGAAAAAGCAAGTTTATTGGAACATCTTGGCTATTATTCATAATAACCTCGGACTTAATAAATACGGATTGAAAATAGTTATACCACGTGGTTTTAGATGTAGATTAGATCGAAATACCGTATCTTACTATTGTGTTCAAGGTTCTTATCCGAAGATTGACGGAAAGGGCCGAGAAATTGCGATTGAAAGCAAGTTTTCCATGATAATAAACATAATTGAAAGTTCATAACAAAGTCGTGGTATTCAGCGCACGAAAATAAAACACATTCGGAAGCAAATCAGCCAAAACAATTGTCATATTGCCTTTCATTTGAGCTAGCACCATACAAAATTAATTTAACAATTTTAAATACTTTTAGGCTGTACTTTAAACATAGTCTTCGGCCTTATTCTTATCACATATGCATTGCTTTGATTTTGTTAGTTGTTTGCGAAAAGTTTTAGTAAAATCTTTGATTTTTGGTTTTCTTTCCGGGATTTGGTGGAAAATCTTATGTTTTATGTATTGTTTGTTAGTCGTAATATTTTTTTCGTTTAAGACAATGTATACCATTGAATGTACATGTATGTTAATAACTTTGATATAAAACTATTTATAACCATACATTTAAACTTGTTGTTCTTAACATGTCATAAAAGTCTCCTAACTGGCTTCCGTGGCCGGGTGGTTTATGTCGCTTGCGGCGAACCACTTGTCACTCTACGTTGTGGGTTCGAATCTTGTCAGGTGCTTTGGCTTTTTCGTGTAAGAAAGTTACCAAATTAGAGAAAGGGATATCGGGTGCTTACTCGCTCCTGAAATAAAGAAATAAATGACACGTGACTTTATTAATTAGTAAGCAGCCAAGATAGATATGTTATTACTAACAACTTGATCTCACTAATATATAGTTATTGACACCGAACATTTGCACGTGAACTCAACCAATCAAATTACTCATTTAATTTTGACGGATAACAATCTCAAGACTTATAAGAAAACAATTTTCCCTTTCCTTTTTTTGTTTTAAAATTTGGAAAATGGTTTTTTAAACCCAAAAAAACAAAATATTTTTAAAAAAATTGATTTTCTGACATTTAAAAGTTAATTTGTTTACAATGGGATGAAGGTGTTCAATAATAAACCCCTTTTTAAAAGATAATAATCTGCGTTTGGGGAATATAATTGAACAGAAGAGGAACATTCATAAAATCTAAGTTACGCTATGAATGGGGTTTCTTATTCTAAACAATTTCGTGCATATGAAATACGAATTGGTATTTCAGACTTGTGATCTTTATTATTCATAGGTTTACGTGTTTGTGCGTTTTCCTGTTTTAACCTTGTCAACAATACCTTACTGAATAAACATTTTTATAAACTGAATAACGTTTTATCGTTAACTTTTCAAGAGGGCCTTTCATTTAAATCATACAAAATTAGGTCACTGATAAAGAAGACATGTAAAGTGGGTCTTTTCAACAACAATCATAAACATAAATAAATTATGTTACTTTACACATATGTTCTTGACCTTAAAATGCTTAACACTATTCAACAACTTTAAACAAAATGTAAAATGATTTTATGTTGATGAGGTGGATATTTAAGCCTATGAATATATTACATTAGCCAGGTTCATATATTTAGATAATCAATCTCCATGCATACAATGTATGTTCTACTGTAACGAAGTTTGTTGTCGGGGGACGGTGACACATACAATTAACAATTAAGATTTTCTACCCGTGCACTGCCTGGCCCCTAAGCCTAATGGAGAATATCACATGATTATGATGATAACAATGTGGACGACAAAAGAAACCATTGCCGATAAATGCCGTTACCGCCGCTAAATGTCACAAAATCTTCTGTTGTTAAATGTCGCAATGGTGAAGTTAAAATGTCGCAAGATCTACATTCATGATAAAATTAACTTAGCTAGTGGTATTAAATTAAATAAACATTGAGTAAATGCCTGTATATATCTAGTAACGTTTGGATATAAAAGACTGATCCATCTGTAGAATGCTTTTTAAATGTGGATTGGTCTACAATGGGTACATTTTCAAGAAATAGGGACTTAGGATTCTTTCATGTGAGGAAGTTATATTCAGTTACCTTATGGAACGTCGGTGGTTTTTCTCTAGTTCGAGGCACCAGAGGTCTTCCTCCACCAGTAAAGCGGGAAAATCTTTATACTGTGTTGGTGTGACGTTTTAATGCCTAAAAACTACGTTTTAATGCCTAAAAACTAATTAGGGCTTGCATGTCCTAATTAAAAGTTTTTAAAACTTATTAGGAGAATTTAGGAGAAATAAAATTCTCCATTGTTCTTTTGTATAAAAACCTAATTTGAAGGTACAAAGTTCAAATTATTTTTATTTATATTTAGTCTTTTGAAATTCCTCCTTATTATATTTTATTTCCAAATTCCTAATGATATTTTTATTTCTCCTAATTAGGCTTTTAAAACTACTTATTAAGAGTTACAAAGTTGTAATTAGGATTATTTCTCTTAATTATGAGTAAACATTCCTTATAAGTTGTAACTGGGAGTAATAAATTGTAATAAGGTTTTTCTTATCTCTCTTTTGTAAGAAAATCTATTTTCTTTTTAAATTTTCCCTTTTTACGAGTTAAGCACTTAAAAAAAAAAAAATAAAAAAAAAAAGTGCAAAAGATTTTTGTTTCCAAAACACTTTTAAAACCTATTAAATTTTTTTTATTTGATTTTTGACCTGCGCCACAAAAACATGCAAACGAAAAAGATGGGAAAGGAAAAATGAGTTGGGGACCCCATACACGCATCACGGGGGTTTCCCCCTTTTTACGAGAAAGGGACAAAAAGTTGTCTGCCCTTTAATAAAAGGGCAGACAACTTTTTGTCCCTCTCTCGTATTGTTAACTTAAATGATAGTACCATTTTTGACAATCATATTCTTTTTATTTTATATTTTTTATTTACCTCTATATTCGAATAAAAGGGAACCAAATTTGGATAGGGAACCAGAAATATGACTAAAGTACACAACGGGGATTTTTTTCTCTCTCAAAACATGCACAGCGTATGCTTATTCACATTAAAAAAATACTGAGTGAAAAAGTTGGTTTGTTTTAAAAATGTATCACAAATATTTGCACTAGGTTGTTATGAAGGATTCTATGCTGGCAAAATGGCTGCGAAATGGACACATTCTTGGCGCAGCGGAAATAATTTTCTATAAAAGGAACAATGTATGATTATAAATAACAATTATCAAACTAAGATAAATTATATATATTAAATGAAGTACCAACATAAAAGTTTGTTGTAAATTTCAATAAGATTTTTAAAAATGTTTTTGGAAATTAATTATGCCTGCGAAATGGACTTATTCGGGATCTGAGCGCAACGGAGATAATTTTGTATAAAGAGCACAATACATGTACATGTTTATAATTAAAATCATCAAACTAAAAGAAGTTATCAACACTTACAGCGTCTGATGTTTTGATTCACCATCATTTAATATATCTTTTATATACAAGATAACATTAAATTATTCTTTGTTGGTTTAAGCTCGATTGCGAAACAAGTTCTTGCAACTCATATTAATCACTCATGGAACTAACCAGTACTGGTGTCATATGAAAAACATGGTCGTGCCCCGATTAGGACTCGTACCCATGATCTCTGGGTTCAGAGGCAGACACCTTAACCACTAGGCCACCACTCGCTTATTCTTTGTTCGGCACCATGGCCCCGTATGAACATTTTTAAGCCATTGTTCTGAATACTTAGCTATGCTTTAATTACAGATGCTTTTTGGACTAGTTTTATTTTGATGATGTAGCCGGTATTTTTGTTCAGAAGTATACTTCACAACTGGTCTGATAACAATCGTGATTTTTTTCTCTTTATGTTGCAGACTTTAATTCTTGTGAATTTCATTTTTTATAGACATGTATGAATAAGTTTATTTATAATCAAGTTACTCGGACAGAATAAAGGTATGATGTGTATTTAAATTCGGTTAATTAAATACGAACTGACCTGTGATATTTATAGGTCACTGACTGGAATACATGTTTGCAATATGAAGCCGCTGCCAAATGCCTTACTAAGGTAAGTGTATTATAAACTCATTACTTGATATTACTCTTTTAGAATTATTGTTTCACAATATATTTAAATCATTGTGTTTCATGTCCAAAATTTAATATCGATCAGAACTGGGTCAAAAAGTAGAACTGTGTTCTATACTTCACTACAAAACCATCTATCCCTTGGTTTTGACAACTTACTAATTTAGAATTGACTTTTTAATTTTAATTAGATTTGTTCTATTACGTTGATTAATTATTGGTAATATGTCTTCACTGTTAACAGATTGGTGTATTTATATTAATGACAAATTCAATAACAGTAACTGTATTCTGAATGTCATTGTGTTACTTACAGAGTAATGAATGTTTATTTTTACATATTTAATTAAGCTCGATTGCGAAACATGCTAATTATTTTCGAGTCCGTTTCCTGCAACTTACCAGTACTGGTTTCATATAAGGAAACATGGCCGTGACTCGTGTAGGGCTCGAACCCATGATCGTGAGTTGAGAGGCAGACACCTTAACCACTCGGCCACCGTTCCTATTAATCAGTTTAAATTGTCAATATTAAACAAGTTTCAAATATTGATGTGAACGGATATGTTTTCAAGTGAGATCATACTTATTTTATATTTCTCAGAATAGCCAAGCATTTGAACTACAAGCGAACATTCCTGGCCAGAGATTGCACACGTGTTGATGTACCATGTATTCCTTATGAAGCATTTGAATTTACAGGTATTTTACAACAATAAATAATCAAAGCACAGAAGGCGCTGAATTTGTTTGGGTCTCAGAATGTCAGAAAGGTGGAGGTTGTAGGATTATAAACCAATTTGTTTGTATAGTGTCACCAATGTTTCCAGTGTTATAACTATAGTAAATGGGCTATAAGACTAATTGCAACACTGACATTCAATTCAATGTTTATTTGGCTTAAACAATTTTAAAAAAATATGAGTAGCCTGAACTGGGATTTGAACTCCAGACCTTTGGAAGCGAGTAAACCCCTCGACCACGGGGAGTTACAAAACAACAGACTAAAGAATACCATATTATTCTAAATTACAGTTTGTAACCCTTATTAATTTCGATATATTTTGTTCACGGTAAACACTGAAAATAATCATGGAGCTGATAAAAGGCATGTATATCTATAAGACTTACACAATATTAGAAATCTTCGACCAGTCGGGAAATATTTTTTCGTTACGAAAATTAGTGCGCCTGACATTTGACAATCTTTACGCAGTGATCTCCCCTTAATTTTTAGGCTTTAATGTACATTTGAAAGGAAGTAACCGCTTCGAGGAGTTTGGACTACTTTCGGCATTTGCAAATAAGAACATCAGGGTCTGAAATTTCGCTACCATTATTAATTTGATCTGACGACCCAAACAAATAAAACCTCATTCAAATCATTTCCAATACCATACCATACAACATGAACTTTATCTGTTCTTTGTATTTCATGCCAGAATTCGATCTTAATGATAAACATTGATAAACACTGATAAACGGTGATAAATGGTTATGAATGGTGATAAACAAAGTGTATTCTTAATAATTAAAATCCAAGTAAATTCTGCGAACTCGGTCTTATTCCAGAACTAATATTTGTTCAAATATTAATTTTTGTATTTTTTTTTGTGACGAAATTAAAAATGCATATTTTTATGTATATTTCTAGATTGTATTTAATACGCTCCCATTATTATTATTATTATTATTATCATTATCATCATTATTATTATCATTATTATTATTATCATTATTATCATTATTATTATTATCATTATCATTATTATTATAATTAATTTATTATTATTATTATTATTATTATTTTTATTATTATTATTATTGAATGACAAACAATTTCTATATATAAAGTAGTGTCCCTCTCCACTGATAAACACCTATGAGATTCATGTGTTTATAGTTTGAACATGGTTCTTGTTCATTTGCCAATTGTAACATACAAAAAATACTGTCGGACAAAAACACTCGTGTTAATTATAACAAATCACATAAAATTAAAACGCTTTACTATCTTATAAAAACGCTTTACTCTCTTATAAAAACGCTTTACTCTCTTGTAAAAACGTTTTCTCTTTTATGTAAACGCTTTACTCTCTTAAATAAACGCTTTACTCTCTTGTGTAAAATCTTTACTCTATTGTGTAAAGGTTTTTCTCTCTTGCGTAAACACTTTACTCTCTGGCGTAAAAGCTATACTCTCTTTCGTAAACGCTTTACTCTGTTGCGTTAACACTTCCCTCTCTTGCGTAAACGTTTTACTCTCTTACGTAAACGCTTTACTCTCTGACGTAAACGCTTTACTCTTTTGCGTAAACGCTTTACTCTTTTGTGTTAAATCTGTACTCTCTTACGTAAACGCTTAACTCTCGTACGTAAACGCTTTACTCTTTAACCTTTTTAAGTAGAATTTTCAAAATTTGTACTGACTGAGTGGCGAATAGTGCTGATCATTAGCCGACGGCGTAGATGTTCCACTGATCTTTGATCCATTCTGGTCACATGGATATAATCTGTTGCGACAGCAAGCTAAAGATCATTGAATGAATGTAAAACTTTGTAGTACATTATTTTCATTTTGATAATTTCAGGAACAAAGATCAACCCATGGTATATCCAAACACTTATTGGGGCAGTGAGGTCTGTCAGTTTCTCCAAGTATGCAGACGACAAAATCCCGCCTCGCTCAACTCTAGATTTTCACGATATCTTAGAAAACTACTTTATATTCATCATTGGTGTAACGATGGATATCAAGAGACCGTTTCACGATTTTGAAACACCAAAAGCCCCGCTTTATGTTGTTGAGAAGTTGAAGTATTTAGGTAAAACATCAAAGACGTTGACCTATGATATTCGTCATGGTAACACTGACGAGTTATACGTGTCTTGTGATATAACTGACGTCCTCGTGTCAACTAAAAGTCGTAAACCAACTGCCTACCCGGACTGGTGGCTTCAAAAGCATGGTGATCTTGTAACAGAAGAAAAGGCAAAGTTCGCGGAAGAGCCACTGCCAAATAACGAACCTTTCTCTTCAGTGATAAGTGTAAAATCTAGTGATATCGATACATACCAACATACAAACTGGGCGTCATACCTGAAATTCTGTTACGAAAGTTTCACGGACCATACATTAACAAATTCTTACAAAAGAATGAACAAAGCCCATCTAAGTAATGGATTAAAATCTTGTAGTATGATTTATAAAAATGAAACTAATTTAGGGGATACCCTTAACGTAAAGTCATGGGAGTCTGATGCAGATGATGATAAAGTTATCTTCAATGTACTTAAAGATGACAAAGTTTGTCTGTATTGCAACATGAAATTCTTTAACACATTTGAATAGTTGTTATTGCGTTCTCAGTTTTAAGAAATCCATATTTCTATTTTTAGATCTCCAGCATATACACATGTAACGGTCCGACCATAGTTTGGCTCAGATCATTGTCGGATGAACATGTAAATGTTAATGGTTCGGCCGTTGTTTTCCGACGATGGGCTCAGATCTGCATGTTATGTATATTGCTAAATGTATAAATTAAGATTTACACGAATTTCATATACATGTATATCAATATATTTTTAAATGTCATGGTACCAAAATTTTCATTAAAAATGTGTAATTATATTCAAAGGATATTGGTATATTAAATAATAGTTTTCTATAGATTGATATTTTTTTTCTATAGATTGATATTTTTTTCTCTTTGAGTCTAAAGTATATATCATGAAACAAGAATATTATCTGTGCAATTCCAGCAAAATGAAAAGTATAAAGATTAGTTATTGAGAAACAATCGTTTTTCTGATGTCTTTTTTCCCGAAATACACGTTGTCTGAACTCCATTAAAATGCAGTTGTTTTTTTGTTTCATTAAAGCGAATCCATATCCGAGCCATCAAAAATATCCGCATTCACTAAATGCTATGGCATGTGACCTTGCACGTGCTCTATATTGCCGCTATCTAACGAGGTATTGTGCAACGAAATCGGACCATTGAATAGTTTCAATGAATTCAAACCACGTATTGCTCTGTTAATCAAGAAGAAATTAAAGATCCTGTAACACAATTTTTTCATGGTTTAATTCATAAATATGATGCTCAAATTAAGATTTGTCAATATTGTAAGTTCCCATAAGCATTATTTATAAAGATATTACCCAATTTAACATTTCTTGTAAATATAGGGAGGTAATTAGAAATTTATTTTCTATAAATTCTAAGTCAAATTTTCCAATAATAAATGAATGCATGTAATTTATTGATTAAATATAACGTGCACAAATATTTTCAGTACACATTTTACATATTCTTCGATGTTTGGAAGTTGTTTTATTTGCATAATTATATACATATATAATTTTTTTGCAAGTGTGGTATACACACACACTTCTCACTTCCCCTCGGAGCGTGCACGTCGCTGAGAAGGCACAGGGCATCGGCAGAAGATTTACAGCTTGGCTGGTAGCAAACACAACTCAACTAAATAGAAGCACCCCGTAGGCTGTAACAACGGGATCGCTACTTCGTCCGGTGGCCTGACTAATGCCGAGGGGAGTGGCCCTACAAAGTAGGCTGAGACGACGAGGATGATGTGCTAGGGTGTGTGAGCCCCTAGTACAGATAGACGGCTTGTAAGGCAGGCCTTTTGCTGGCACCAACAGCCCTTTTTAGGGCTACCCTTTCATATTGTCACAGGTTACTGTACATTTAGGTCCTCATTGACCGCCGTACAGTGACCTACTTTAGGCTCAAAATTCATATCTTTGGCTAATACTCCGTGGGAATTGCATGGAGAAAAAATATCACCACTTTGTGCTTCAAAATTAACTCTTTAAGGGCATGACTGGTGACATGTCCGGGGTCCGTACTCGACAGCGAAAGCTGCATTTTGTGCCCGAAAGGGCGGATGGACCCTCATTAAGCATTAACTACATACATATATATGGTATACACACAGTAACAATATCAATCACAAAACATACAGGATCTTTAACCATAACAACAAATATTGATATTAATTTTCTGTAAAACAGAAAACAAGAACATTTATACCGGTATTTTGCTATATCCGAAATATGTTTAGTTTCCCATGTTCTCGCCTCCTCATTTGTCTTACAATTGCCTTGTTTTTGTAATAAATTATTAATTCGTACATGTCTAAAATTATTATACAATGAATTTGTATTGTATGTGAAGAACAATAGTACAATGCGCAAGTCATTTGTTTATCCGAAGACATTGAGTAACATGACACATTTTCTAATCAGCCGACATTTCCCAAGATGCAAATGTAAACGCATTAACACGAAATACGTGTTAAAAAGATCGTTTTTACGACATCTGCTATATAACAGACTGGCATGACTAAATGTGACAATATATTGAAGCAAGGCAGTGCATAACATAAAGGGGACTTTAGAATATTTATTCTTAATCAAAATTTTATCTGTTTCAATTCAGTCAATAAAATGTATGAATCGAAATGCTGGAATATACAATTATATTTAAGCAAAATATCTCTCATAAAACATGGCCAATGAACTTCCGGCGTTTGAACCACGTGATATTCAAAATAGAAATCATTATCGGATCTAAACTTATCAATTTAGCCTCGTTTGCATTTCCAGAGTCCAAAATATCCATATAATATAGCCTCGCTTTCATTTTCAGGGAACTGAGTAGAACAACCGACGTTCATAAGCTAGCTGGATAGCTTTCTCACGTGAAAGAATCCAAAGTCCTTCGCGAGATTCGAACCCACTGCGGTGAGGAGAAGTGGTCTGAAGTCAACGGACGCCAGTAGTAAGGCTACTGAGCGTGTCTGGACCACCTACCATTTTTTTCATTTTTTCATTTTCCAAGTGATAGTAGCATACTACACTACTCATTAGTACAATAACCAAACTTATCCAGCGCAAACCAAAATAATAAGTAACCAAAACACTAAAACAACGTCTTATTTACATAAACCAATCGTCATAAACCAATAAATTACTAAAATTAACGTTTTACTGATAATAGTAATATAGGTTATTGCGCTTTTTCCCTAAAAAAACACTTTTTTAAAAACGTTAAAAAAGCGTCTAAATACACTATAGTAATATAAGAAATATAAAAATTTAAGTAATTAACAAAAATGTATTGGGAACAAATAGAACAATATTGTGATGTTTGTGATAGAAAATTTAAAAATGCAGGTATTTATGCTAATCATAAAAACGGATCTCCGCATAATAAAAAATTAAAAGAAAAACGAATAGATTGTGGTAAAGTTCTAAATTTTGATAGACCAAAATGCTGTGATAAAGATATGATATGCATAAAGGTTGATCATTATCAACATTCTTTTGATGATTATAACTATGAATGTTATTCAGAATATGAATTTTTTTGTGGTATCTGTGAAAAAACTAATAAATTTAAACGTATTACAGGATTAACTCCTAAAAGATATTGTGGTAATTTTTGGATTAATCCGAATAATACTTAAAAAATATAAATATATATTTAAAAAGTAAAACTAACCTAGTAAAATGAAAGCTAAAACAAAATATTTTAAAGATATTGCCATAGAAACTATTATTGATGATATAGACGAAGAGGATATAACTAAATATATAAACTTATTAAAAGATAAAATAGTTATTAATCAGTTTCCTTCTAAAATAAAAATAATAATAACGAGTGAATTTTCAACTCCCATGGCATTTGATATAATAGAAAGTCATTACTCTCATCCTGTTCAAGTTATCCTAACACAGAACAATATATCTACATTCTATGAAAGTTTAATAGATAAATTTGAAGCTTGGATAGATGAATTTCAAGAAAGAGGATCTGGTTTTGTTTTCAGAAATATTAAAAGAGTAATAGTAAAACAATATAAATATGATTATCAGAAAGCTTCATCTTATATTCCTCTTCAATTTAAATCAGTTAATATTATCAATGTTCAAAACAAAAATGATAATAAATGTTTTCTTTGGTCTATATTATCAAAGTTATATCCTGCTTCTAGAGATAAACAAAGAGTAACTAAATATAAAGAATATGAAAATGAAATTAACATGAAAGGGATTGAATATCCTGTATCAATAAAAGATATCTCAAACGTAGAGAAACAAAATAATCTTAGTATAAACGTATTTGCGTTAGAAGATCAAACAAATAAACAATCTTTATATCCAGTTTATATTTCAAACATAGAAAGTGAAAATGTAATTGATCTATTATATATTGAAAGTGATGAAAATACTCATTATTGTTTAATTAAAGATTTAGATAGTTTCATGTGTGATATGAATAAGAATAAATCATTTACATGTAGAAATTGTTTACAAGGATTTCAAAGAGAAAAAGCACTAATAAGACATAAAGAAATATGTTATGATAATAAACCTTGTACAACCATAATGCCAAAACCAGGAGAAAATATTCTAAAATTTACAAATTATCATTTTAAAAATAAATTACCATTTGTTATCTATTCTGATTTTGAATCAAACAATATTCCTATAAAGTCATCTCAACCAAATCCTAATGAATCTTATATAAACCCGATAAGCAAACAAGAAATAAATAGTTATGGAATATATGTTAAATCTAATAATCCAGAAATCTATGAATCAGAATACATTTCTTATGTTGGAAACGATGCAAAAGAAAAATATGTTGAAAAGATAGTTAAAATTTTTAAAAAGATTACTTATCAGATGTATCTAAATGAAAAGAAAAAACCATGTTTAAGTAAACAAGAAGAAGATGAATTTCAAGAAGCAACTGAATGTTATATTTGTAAAAAAGAATTTGAAGATAATTGTAAAATAAGGGAACATAATCATCTTTCAGGAAAATATAGAGGAGCAGCGTGTCAATCTTGTAATACAAAAGAAGGTAAAGCAACAAAATTAATACCAGTATTCTTTCATAATGGATCAAATTATGATTTCCACTTTTTAATTGAAGAATTGATGAAGTATGAAGATGAATATAATAAAGTAAAACTTCTTTCTAAAAACTCAGAAGAATATATTTCTATAGATTACGGAA